AATTATCACCACTTTTGAGAATGAAAAATGTCAGTAATGCCCAGCAGCCTGGTCTTTTGTTCGGAGTTCGGTCTTTTGTTACAGGGCCCTGTTTCCTTTGTCCGAGTTCGGAGACCACGGCCACCCATATAAACCATACGTCTCTGATCCCGGAGCCCCCCGCAGGAAGTGGTTAATGACTGCGTGGCGCACTCTACCTCAGGTTACCATTAGGAGGTTGATTCTGTTCATGCACCGACACATCCAAGCGTGTTTCATAGTGACAAGAAGGCATACACTGTATTAATCAATTTCAACTCAATTTCCATGATAATTTGTGCACTTCAAATTCAACATGCTTACACATAGAAAAATATTGCATTACTTCTTTGCTATGAATACATTTCAACTGCGTCCCCTTTGCACACACTAAGACCTTGCATTCCAACAGAAACTGAATGCATGCACTTAACACATCCTGCACCAAGTGTACAAGAACCTCTCCCGAGTACAAGGGACATTAAGTGCTTGATGTAAAAATTTGTCTCCTCCTCTTCCTGCACATAGCAGATCATGTTGACAAATGGTATTCAAAATGTAATGTGAAAATTGCTGTATCACAAAAAAAAGAACTTTACTTGCTGGAAAAAACGTATTGAATGGGAGCAATTTACTTCATGACTGATTTTGATGTAGTGAACGGTGTGAACCTAATATTATAGTGCATAGATCAGAACAAGAAAATAACATTAGTGTTGAAATGGTTCATAAAGCAGCGGTGATAGAGTCCATTAAGTGTCAAAAATGGACATGCTACGATACTTGGATAGTTCTACTTGGTTCCAACTTAATGGGAAAGTTTGGAGTTGGTAGTATGAATGAAAATGGCAAATGTCTACTCGAGCTAGGCTGCCAGCAATAGACCAGATCTCCTATCTCTGCCAGCTTATAGAAAAGTGCATGGAGTTCGGTCAATTGTCTATTTTGCTTATGTGGACTTCAAGGCTACACATGAACATATTTTTATGGTGTCAACAGGGAGGTAGATATATTGAAGCACAAGCAGCCAATCAGGTAACAATACGAAAGAAGCACAACTTGTTTGTTTTATGCATTATCAGTACATCACATTGTTAATGAAGAGACAGGCAAACATAAATGCACTGGATAAATTGCATTAAGTCTGTGGTTGAAGATGAAGGTGTTTTAGTTTTATGTTACATTAGGGATTAGATCTAATAGAATATGTACATGTATGTAATGGCAGGTGCAACTTGGAGAACGTATGGGCATCTAAAAATCCCTATCTAAATACTTACATTCTTTGGAGGCCAGAAGAGATTCTTGCAAAATAAAAAGAAGAAATATTGTTAAGCCAGATATAATTTGTTTTGATATGGTCTTGAGTTTGCCAACACATTAACCTTTTAAAAGATGCAAAAAGTTCATCCCTTTTAGAGTGCTCTTAGAGGGAACAGATACTCTGAATAGTGCTACAGCCAACGAAACTACCACTATGAACATTTTCACTGTACATCACGACATGTAACATACATATAAAACTTAGTCTAAATCAAGTTATCAACAGAATATACTCAGCATCTCAAATTCTGGTTTTACCATGCACATATTCGAGTATTTTTTGGTGTGTGGAATCAAAACAGTTGGCATAACAGTGAGATAAAGTACACGTACCAACAGCCAGTGACCCCTGTAATGAAATAAAGTACACTCTGAGCTTGAAACAATTTAAACCCTTTGAAATTAAATGAACTGTTGAAACAATAAATCTTCAAATTAATGCACAGAAAGGTCAACCTTTCGAATTTGAAAGTTTCAGAAAAAAAAGGTGAAGTTGGTAATATTACATGTAACTGTATAAAAGAAAGTGATGCAGGACATTAATGTGAAGCCACCATTTTTTTTTTCAAATTTACAGGCGGGTATCCGTAATGTGCATAAATTAACACAGACTTAATTTTTATGTTAAAAATATTACTTTAATCCCTAAATTTAATGTTGTGACTTTTCAGCGTGTACTTTTATTATGATAATTTAGCTGTTGTAATGAGTGCTTGACTTGTATAAATAAATTTCAAAACCTAAATGAAAATTTCAGTTCAGAGTTAGTCAGTAATTAACAAAAGAAATAAACGACTTTGGGCGTCATACCGGTACACGTAAGTATGGACAAAATTTGTTCTACGCCTCAAGCATGGCTACTATTACATGTATATTCAAAACAAGCAAGTTTTATCAGGCCTTACTGTATACAGAACATATACCGCATTCCCACTTGATCCACCAATTGAGGGATCTGATACACCTTTTGCCAAATTGCTGGATCAGATCCCCTAATTGGTGGATAAGATCCGGCAATTGTGTGTAGAGGGAACGCTAACCATTACAAGATGGATCAGGATCAGATCCACCTTTCTTGATCCTCCTCTGGAGCAGGACACAGACTGGTGGATCAGATCCTGCAATTGGCAGACCATGATCAGATGGGAACACAAAAGATGGAATTGATACGGCAATCGGACGTGTCAACATCTATTTAATAGAGGCCTTCCAAAAAAGTTAAAGTATGAACAAAAGAGGACAACAGGAACGTCCACGATTGCCCAAAAAACATGTTTACATGTGTGTGCACATTCCATGTACATGTATTGTATGTACTGGTAAAGCCACGTCAATCATGTGAATAAATCATGCTTACTCACAACCTACAGTGGACTATTCATATTATGCACAATTTTTGTCCAAAGATATAACAGAGGAATGACTGTAAACAGCATGTACATGTACCGGTACCTGTGCCGCGCCGGTACATGTTGTTTCTGCATGTACAGGTAGCAGGTGCCTTGATTGCAAATTGTTCTCTCTTTTAGTCTCAGAGATTATTTTTGCAGCAATGTGTTAGAAGGTTTTTTATGCTGCACTGTAAAGTACCAGCATCACCTCCATCCAGTTACAATTACTATTCAAATGATGTACTATTAACGTAGATGTATTTTTATTTAAGGGCTCATGTGTGCTAGGGTAAGGGTGTGGTGTATATTCTACTGAATGAAATCCTTGTGGTGATTAGGTCTGTGCTTCAGTAACAGATACATTGGATCTATACTTTTAGGTGTAGTGTGCCCTCTGTTGTTAGAACTTAGGGAGCCGAGTTGTTGCATGCCAATGTGACTGGCCGTCTAGTGTGACATGTAAGAATTAAATAATTGGTGACGATGTAAAATGAATACTTTGGGCAACATTGGAGAGTTTCAGCCTGAGGAGACGTGGACCGTTTGGCACAGTTTTTAAGCAAACAATGTGAAAGTACATGGTAAAAAGCAAGCTGTGCTATTGAGTATTTGTGGGGTAACAACTTCTAGCTGATCACTAGCTTAGTTATACTGGCACCGGACAAGCCAGGTGAGAAGACAGGAGTTAATTTCAATCACCAAAAATCATTTCAGCCCCAAGCCATCTGTCACAGTAGAGAGATATAAATTCAACTCAAAAATGAGGCAATCAAGCCAGTCAATTTCTCAGTTCACTGCAGAAAAACATATGCCACCTTGCACAACACTGTGACTATGAGGAGACTCTCAGTGACATTACGTGATTGCTTAGTGTGCAGTATCAATGATGATCAGATTCAACATAGACTGTTGTCTGAATCCACTCTCAAGTTGGATAAAGCTTGGAAAATAGCTCAAGCTATGGAGCTGGCTGCCAGAAATGCTAAGGATATTCAGTAGCATTCAAGTGACGAGCATTCCCCACTTCCCAAACAACATCAGGCGCACCAAGCCAGCAATGCTAAACCCCAGGGGAAGGGAAGAGGGAAGCCATAAGCTCAAACTCAAGCACATGGGGAGTCAAGTGGATCACACAAATGTTATCCCTGTGGGCGACTAAACCGCTAATCACAGAGCTGTCGAGCTCGCTCATACATGTACATGTACACCGGTAATAACTGTGGTAAGCAAGGCCATTTGGCCAAGGTGTGTAAGAGCAGTAAACCCCCATAGACATCAAAACAGTCGCAGCACAACACATACAACATTGATGGAAATGTTGATGTGGATGAGAGTGCACAGCCTCCAAATTACACCATGTACAAGATGACATCACAGACAAAAGAGCCTCTGTAACTAGTAACTGTGTTACTCAATGGCAAACCTGTGGAATGGAAATCAACACTGGTTCCATCCTCAATGAAAACGCCTTCGAGTCGGTATTTGTTGACAACAAATCAACCCTATATGCAAGAACACAGACAATGAAGCGCGCACATATGTTTTTCAGTACACCTGCATGCCCTTTGGTGTATCTGCTGCACCTGCAATCTTCCAATGGACAATTGAAAGTCTTTTGGCAGACATACATGTAGCTTATGCAGTGCCATTACTTGATGATGTGCTAGTAACCGACAGGATTGATGCAGAGCACGTCACAAATCACAACAAGGTCCTGAGTCACCTCCAGAGTGCAGGACTCCGTCTGAAGCAGGAAAAATGCATGTTCTGTGCCCCAGAAGTGATGTACAGTATTTGGGGCATCATATGAATGCAGCAGGCTTGCATCCTACAGCAGAGAAGGTTCAAGCAGTAAGGGATGCACCAGTACCAGGTAATGTGACAGAGCTGATGTCCTACCTACCGGTATGACTCTTGCACTATTATGGCTGATTCTTGCCAAATCTGTTATCACTTCTAAGGCAAGAAAAAAGAAGAAGAAAAAAATCTGCTGGTCATGGAGGCCACTACTTGTAGAAGCCTTCTGAACTTCAAAAGAATTGCTGATTTCAGCCAGAGTGTTATCCTGTGATGCAAGTCCATACAGTGTGGGTGCAGTGCTTGCCCACCGCATGTCCAATGGCTCTGAGCACCCTGTGGCTTATACCTTGCTGTCAATATCTCTGCCAGAGTGAAACTACTAACAACTGGATAAGGATGGACTAGCAGTGGTATTCAGGGCAAAGAAATTTCACCTGTACATGTACGTTTATCACTTTGAGACTGCTACTGATCACAAATCACTGCTAGGGCTGTTCAGTGAGGAGCAAGCACTATCTCCCATGGCATCATCCAGAATTCAACGTTGGGCCTTTACAATGACAGCTTACAACTATCACCCGGTGTACAAACCAGGACATCTGAATGGCAATGCCAATGCTTTAAGCACATTGCCACTGCCGGACATCATCAACTGTACCCCAGTTTCAGCAGACATGGTTGTGCTTGCACTTGGACTACGCTGGCCATTTATGGACCAGATGTTTCTTGTCATGGTGGAGGAGCATGCTATGCACACAGCGACATCTCAAGCCACATTAGAAAGGCTTCATCATACCATCGCAACATATGGACTGCTAGAAATCATTGTCACTGGTAATGGCACAAACTTCACCACTGCTAAATTCGAGAAGTTTCTACAGATAAATGCCATCAAACGTGAGGTCTGCCCCATTTTATCCATCATCGGATGGTCTGGCAGAAAGGACGGTGCAGTCATTCAAAGCTGTTATGTCACGCATGCCAGAGGGCACAGAGGAGACCAAACTGTCATGTTTTCTGATAACATACGGGCTGATACCACATCCCACAATTGGCTTATCTCTAGCAGAGATGTTGATGAAATGCCAGCTACTGGTACATACCAGACTTAATGCAGTTAGACCCAACATCCACCATCGCACTGCCATCAGTTAGCACAGGAGTAGTACCATGACAAGCATGCCAAACAACGCACCATCAACTCTCAGGAGGCAGTCTACGCTGAGAACTTAGGATTGCTGGTTGTCATCACTGCTGCTACCAGTAACTGCATCCAGCTTGAGGATGGTTGTGTCTGGCGCTGACATGAAGACCAGATCCAACCTCCCTGGGTGCCTGTGACACACGTCTTAGATCCTGTCTACGCCTAGGGTGGAGGAGATGGACAAAACTGAGCCTAGTCACAGCAGGTAGGAGCAACCAGTGGAGCCAAGGACTGAGAAAAATCCACCAATACCAGAACTTGCCCGTCTTAACACAAAAATATACCTGGTCGATATGGTTTCCCAAATATGTAACTGACTAGAATTCAAAGACTGATTGCATGATTTTCATGTACTGTTAAAGTTTGTCATTGGTGACGTGTTTAGATTCACTCATTAGAGAGGTTTGAATAGTTGTCAAGGTTAGGTAGGACTGTTAAGTTCCTGAATACAGTTAATTCTTGTTTTTTTCCTGACTGGGGAAAACTAACACAAAAGTAATCTACATACATGTATCTTAGTTTGGGGCTTGAAAAGTTGTTCTTTCTGAGGGAAAGTTTGTCATATAACAGTGTTCTTTATATCAAG